CCAGCTGTTCAAGCTGCCATCTTGGCCCAGCTGAATGCAAAGTATGGTTCTGGAGTGTTACCAGATGCTCCAAAGGAAATGAGCAAGGTGAGTGCAGCACTGCCTCCCCTGTGCCTGCGGAGCGAGGCTGCAGGCCTGGACACCAGGCAGAACCTGGCCTAGTTTGGACTTGATTTTCCCATCTGGAGGAACCTGAAGTCCCACTGACCGTCCTTTCTCCATCCCAGTTATGTACACATGTGGAAAACAGCTGCTGACTTTGGTCAGATAACTTAAATTCTAACCCAACACCACTTCTTAACTAAGGCTTTCACTGTGGCTTTAGGCAACTGACATCTAGTCCTCTGATCCACTTTTCTCTTATGTACAATGGGTATAATACTTATACCCTGCCTACCTCACAGGAAAATTAGGAGGAGCATATGACATATAAGGATCAGACAATGATGAAAGTGAAAGCTCTTTGAAAACTGAAAATCTAAACTGAGTACTGCCCGAAAGAGAACTACTTTTCTGCCTAAGTTAGGTCTTTTCCTGTAGAGCCCAAACTGCCAGGAATTCCTGAAATCTTGGGTCAGAAGGTTGGTTTGTCTTAAGCCTATCTTTCTACCCTCACACCATAGGCATGAGCCTGCCCTCTCCTCTTTGCTTTTAAGCTTCAGAAAAAAAACCTCTTTGTCTGTGGCCTCCTGTCCTGAGAAAAGGAATCAGAAAAGAGCCTTAGTAGGAAGATCTAATAAACTTGAGCAAGAGCTTTTACCATTAGTGCTGCTTGAAGTCCACTTACATTTATGCTTTTCTAATTAATTTTTCTCTTCACATTGCAGGGTCAGGGAAAGGATAAAGATTTGAATTCTAAGTCAGCCAGTGACCTCTCAGAAGACTTGTTCAAAGTACATGATTTCGATGTGAAGATTGATTTACAAGTTCCCAGCTCAGAGTCAAAGGCTTTGGCCATCACCTCCACGGCTCCACCAGCCAAGGATGGGGCTCCAAGGAGATCTCTGGACTTGGAAGACTACAAAAGACGACGGGGGCTTTTTTGAGCTCACCCAGCCTGCTGCTTCTGACCCTGCATGCCCATCAGTGTCCCGCCTTTCCTCTTCCTTTGATGTGCCCTCTTTGGGCTGGAGCAGCAGTAGAAACTGGGAAGAGACTCTAAATAGAGTGCACAAGTATTCATTTCATTATTATGCTTTGTTATATAGGGTGGGTTTTTTTGGTAATATCAGTGCACAATTTAAACATAAATAAACATTAAGATCAGCCTAACGCACTTCTTGATTGCTAATCGATTTCTATTACCTACCAGAAAAGGACTGTGCATTTCAAAGGAGTAGTAAAATGTCAGTTCAACACAAACTCTGCTAACCAGAATATCACACCCCCCGAAGACATACATCACTGAGATTGTTTTTGCCACCCATCTTTTGTGGAATAGGTACAATGAGAATGAGCAGGAAAGAAAATAACCAGGATGAGGGGATAGAAAAGGAAAAACCATCTGAGAAATTTCTTATATTGCTGAAAAGGGGAAGAGAAAGATCTGGGATGAAGAAAGGCCGAGCTTGATGGGAGGAGCAGGTAGGAGAGAAAACACAGTATTATATATAACAGAGACATACGTAATTTACACTGCATGCAAATTAGGTCCTGTGAGGCTGAGTCAAGCACAGAGTGGGCTTAGGGGCCCACTCATGAGCTCTTTTAGACATTCAGCTTCAGACACATCAGCCACAAAGTAACAGTCACAGCAACTGTCAGTACCGTTTTCTGCTATATACAGCCTAGAGCTTCTTCATCATTGCAACATTTCCAACCAGTCTTCATGGGGCAAAGCAATATGCTCAGTGCCATGCTAGATACAAGATTGAATAAAATACAGTCTTATTGTCCAGGGACCCTCAGATTAGAGTGGGGGCTCAGAAGAGAGGCACTTAGACTTTCTAAGGCAGGAACTCATATTGGTGGCCTCAGAGCTGAATTGGGCAGCCATACATGTTTTATTGGGCCACTACTGTGTGTGTGTGCGCGCACACACCTATGTGTGTGAATCTGAAAGTCTTTAAGCACCCTCCATTCTGACCTAGTTCCCACCATTCCCCAAAGTTTTACCATGACAACTCATACATTATCCAGCTGCTTGGTTCTTGAAGGCAGTTGAGTTTGCAACCCTTTTGTATAAGTGGATAAATTTGATTGTTGGGTTTTTATCATTCTTCTGTCACCTTCTTACATAATAATGGCTAACATGATGATATTCCTGACTAGATCAAACAAGTTCTTTTTAAACTAACAGGTACCACCTCCAGTTTCTGTGCTTGCTCTTGGCTAACACTGTTTGCCTTTGTTCCCAGAACTATACACTAGACTGATAGTTTTAATGATTTTTCAAGAATAATCCCTAAATCCTTTTCTTGATCTGTGTGTTAGAGGATTATTTTCTGCCTAGACACATCACTGGACTGGCCTTCTTGCTCCCCAATTAATTATTAGTTTGTCTACATTAAATTATACTTGCCATCTGCTGATAAAATCACAAAACTCCTCAAGCCTTTTCCATTGCTTTCACTCTTTATTGCTGGGTCGTTTTGCCTCCTAGCAGTTGAATCAGCTGCAAACTGGGAGGTTTGGTTACTAATTCCCAAGTCTCTTCTCTATAGTAGAATTTCGTTGTGAAAAATTTCCAAAGGGTAAAAATTTTCTATGCATATATTTTATATACATATGGTTTTGAACACTCAACACAAAAATCAGTATAGCCAAGCTTCCTTGAAAGCATAAAGAAGTAAGAAATGTACTAGGTGATTTTGAACAACTTCACAATGGGTCATAAAATAATGACTTCTAAAAGAGAGATGCATAAAACAAGGATGAATAGTAAATAGCAGAAATAAAAGGAGATCCCTCAAAATATAATGTAGAAAAATCAACATGAAACGAAACAGCATTGGTAGTAAGTTTAACTCACAGAGCTCAGATTTAGGTGTGCAAGAAATAAGGTGTTATTTTCCATTAAACAACTGAATTTATTTTTCAAGTCCTAATCTTAAAAGATTGGCAAGCTTTCCACTTCAGCCATCCTGGAGTGATCCCCCAGGATGTGATAAGGTTCTAAGGTCTCACATCAGGTCAATGCCTGTGTATTAGTTTGCTCAGGCTGCCATAACAAAATGCCACAGACTGTGTGGCGTAAACAACAGAATTTTTCTCACAGTTCTGGAGGCTAAAAGTTCAAGATCAAGATGGCAGCAGAGTTGGTTTTCCCTGAGGCCACTCGCCTTGGCTTGTCTTTCCCTTGTATCTTCACAGGTCTTCCCTCTGTGTGTGTCTGTGTCCTAATCTCCTCTTTTAGGAATGCCAGTAAAACTAGATTAAGACCTATCATATGATCTCATTTTAACTTAATTACCTCTTTAAAGACCTTGTCTCCAAATACAGACACATTCTGAGCTACTGGGGATTAGGTTCCAACATATGAATTGAGCAATGGGGAGCTCAACTCAGCCCATAACAGCCTAGAACAGTGGTCGGCAAACTCATTAGTCAACAGAGCCAAATATCAACAGTACAACGATTGATATTTCTTTTGAGAGCCAAATTTTTTAAACTTAAACTATATAGGTAGGTACATTGTTATTAACCTACCTATATAGTTTAAGTACTGTTGATATTTGGCGCCTCCCCCGCGCTGCATATCCCCCGGCCCACCTGCGCAGCGTCTCCCATCGCCCGACCGACCGACACCCCCACTTCTTCTAATGCCACTTCTTCAAAATAGACTCGCCCAGGCCGAAAACGGACTTCTGCGCATGGGCCACGAAGTTTCAATCGCACTGTACGTGCACACCCGCACGTGGTATTTTGTGGAAGAGCCACACTCAAGGGGCCAAAGAGCCGCATGTGGCTCGAGAGCTGTGGTTTGCCGACCACTGGCCTAGGATGATGAGCTTGTGGCCATCAGCCAGTGTTCCACACAGAGATAAGAGCATTATCTCTGGCCATGAGGTCCCTGTCCATTCAGGCCAACTGCTTTCTGTTGCTTTTAAGCAATGCTGGGGTATCAGGATGGCTCCATACAGCTATGATCCACCATAGTCCCATGTCCTGGGCACATCTTGCACCATTTGAGACCACCAGCACCACCAGCACCACCAGCACCTGCACCCCAGAGAAATGACAGAGTGACCTCTGCTATTCCAACACCCCAGTCCTCCCTTCTGTCATCCAAATGGGAAACTTTCCTTTTTGGTTTTGGAAAACCTTGCTAGGCTCTATTTCCTGTCTGCTGCTGCCTTTCCTAAGATGATGAAGTATCTGCTTAAATTGAGAGAATAAAAAATGTGCAAAAATTAATTAGGATCTCACACTACTCTTTGGTTACATATGACAAATACATGTGTCCATGAGTGTTTATGCTTTTTCCTATCCCAGTGTCCTAAAAATTTTGTTTCCTATTTTGTAATTATATTTTTTTCAATCAAAAATGGTAATGTCTGCCCGGCTAGTGTGGCTCAGTGGTTGAGTGTCCATCATGAACCTGGAAGTTACGGTTCAACTACTAGTCAGGGCACATGCCTCGGTTGTGGGCTTGAACCACAGGAGGAGGGCAGGGGAGAGCCAATCCATGATTCTCTCTTATCATTGATGTTTCTATCTCTCTTTCCCTCTCCCTTCCTCTCTCTGAAATCAATAAAAACATATTTTTTAAAAAATCAACTACCTCCAGAGAGCATTTTCCCAAAGAAGGGAGGCTTATTTCCTTTCCTCCTTTTTTCTTCTCCCACCTCCACACTCAAAATACTTTATGTCGGGAATAAAGAAAAGCAGCCCCTAAGGTCTGCTAACTGCTGGAGAATTACAAGTTCACTTGGGAACAGGTGTAGTGACTGGCACCTGAGACTTCCAAGATTCATCTCTACTTGTTTCACCAGATTTCTCCCTGTGGTAGGAAATATGTGCACAGTTGTTCTCAAATTTCACATCTTATCGTTTGCACCAATAGAGAAATATCAATTGACCTCTTTTGCTCTGAGGCCAAAAATCCTAGAGCAAGAGCTCATGGGCTCTGCTTCCTAGGTGCCCTCTCCTGGACCAATCAATTACGGTTGGGGCGGAGGGCAGAGCAACTCAGGTAAGAACATGGCAGGGTAGGCCCCAGGAAGGTTGGGTTTCTCGCAGAAAAGGGAGGCTGGGCAGAAAATCCCATAAAAGTCCAGAACCAACAAATATATCATTTATACCCATGGGTGGTTACCTAACTGATAAAAGCATCCATCATTTCACTATTATAAAAAAAATAATGAAATATACTCTTAGCTTACTTAAATGTGCCTAAAATTGCAAACCAGCTGACTTTTAAACTATTTATTTCAAACTCCAAAGATTCACATTTCTGGAGTGAAAGCTAGCATTTCCCAAAGGAGAGAAGAATTAATATAAATGCTCTTTTTCTAGAGAATATAAATAAGAACCAGTGCTCACAACATGTACATCAGAAAATGTCTGGCCCTAGCTAGTTTGGCTCAGTGAATAGAGCATTGGCCTGTAGACTGAAGGGTCCCAGGTTCGATTCCGGTCAAGGGCACATGCTCAGGTTGCAGGCTTGACCCCCCCATAGGGGGCGTGCAGGAGGCAGCCAATTGATGATTCTCTCTCATCATTGATGTTTCTATCTCTCTCTCCCTCTCCCAAATCAATAAAAATATATTTTCAAAAAAGAAAAAGAAAATGTCTGATGAGGAATAAAGAGTCTATGAATGTGATTTGTGGCTTAGAAAAAAGAGGAGCTAGAGAGGAGTGTCCAGGGTAAGAAGGTTTTGCTTGTTTATTTATTTGCTTACTAGAAGCAGAGACAGGAACTTACTCTGTACTAGGCAGGCATTGGGCCAGGAGTTTACATGCATTATTATTTAATTTTCACTCACCCTCCTGAAGACAAAAAATAAAAATAAAAAAATCCCCATTTTGCCCAGGAGAAAACCAAAATGCAGTGAATTTAAGTGATTTTCCCAAGTTAAGAGCCAACAGGGGGTGAAACTGAGATTTTAATTCAGGTTTATCCGCAAGTTGGCTGCAAGGATTGGTGCTCCCTACAGTATGTGTACCCAGCAGACAAAGTAGAACAATGAGAGAAGTGATCAGAAATGGGCAGGGA